GAGGACCAGCCTAAATCCCTTCTCCTTCCTGAAACCCTTCCTGACCCTCCACAGAAAACAGTAATTGCTCCCCTGATGAACACCTGGGCAACTCAGTGCCGGTGCTACTTGACATTTTGGATGTTTTTCCTATATACTACTTATTTTTTTCCCCCTCATACTTAAGTCTCATATTTTGGAGAGTGGATAATGCCTTGTTTTGTTGTTTGTTTTTTTTAAAAAAAAACAAACTCTTAGTACTTTTATATCATAGGGCAAATATATTTTTTAATAATTTCTTACTTTGGGAAAAAACTATCTTGAGAAGAAATTTAAGTAGTAAATTCAATTAAAGATTATTACAGAAATTATAAGCATATAATATTTTATAATATAAGCGTGCCCTAAAGATAAATGTATGATAATGAGCATTTAGTTTTGACCTACAATGTAATAATAAAGCAAATCATCTGATTTTTTTATTTTCCAGTACATGTACAAGTTATGGTTACACCATACTGACATCTACTAACTAACTATGTAATAGCCCTATTGAAAAGTTTGAGATATTTCAAGAATTACCAATATGTGTCACTGAGACAAGAAATGGGCAAATGCTGTTGGGAAAATGACACCAACTGACTTGCTTTATCCAGGGTTACCACAAACCTTAAATTTATTAAAAAACCCAAACCTTCAAAGCACATAATGCAAAGTTCAATAAAATATCTTTTTTTCTATAATTATATTTTATTAATTTTCATAAACATTTACAGAGATTTTGGGTTTCCATTCATTCATTGTTGCACTATTCTCTCTACCCTCCTCCCAGTTTGTTCTTGTCCAAATGCCACAGTGTTTGTCAAAGCCAGTTCTGATTAATCTTCTTTGTCAGTGTGTCCTTTGCCATTCCCTATCACTCCTCCCTGACAGAGACTTCATCCGGAGTCATAAGGAAAAGGGGATGGCATATTCTCTTAGCTACTTCCTGCTGAAAAGGGACGCTGTGGGTTTCAGGGTGAAGATCTTCTCTCACTACTCTAAAGGGCCCCTTTGGCAGTAGGAAACACATAGACTATTATGGAGATTGATTTTGGAATTTAGATGCACTCTTATTGATTGTGCTTGGCCGTACATGTTCATATCCTTGAAGATGTATCATGGGGGTGTTGCAACCTAGAAGACACAAATTTGACTATCAAGTTATAAGTACATGAGTCCAAAAATTATGGAAAAGTAAAAGAAAAGATTCTTTCATTGTTTTACAAACCCTCCCCCAGGTCCCCTCCACCATGTAGCCCTCGCTCTAGTCTCCTGTGATGACAGAAATACCTAGTTATATATCTCTTTTAAACAGTTTTCTCCCTCCTCTGTTTCAGTGCAGTATACATTATTGAACCCATCTTACTCAGTCTCTCCCCAACCCCAAGGACAGTCCCATTCTACAACAGTGGCATCATGTAATATCTTTTCCTTAAAAGGACAGTGAGAGAAGAGTCTTAGATTATTCAACTAGATAGAAGAAATTATTTCTTACCCAGCAATGAATATAAGCTACAAATATGAAAATGCCAAAATAGGAATATTTATATTTGAACTTGATCCAAAGTCATATTTTATAAATTACTTTTTGTAATCCAGTTATTTGTTGTTTGATATTTTTTTCTCTACGTATTCCATGATAGTTCCCCCAGCCCCCAAGGATATATTTTATGCATATTGTAAATTCATTTCTATCCAAAGTACCAAGTTATCAATTTCAAATTCTCTCATCCAGAAATACTCAAGCATGACAAGTCTACATGGTCATTAAATCAGATTCTAGGTTCTAGACAGGAAGATCCCTTCACTGATTCTTTCATGCCAATGATTTTAAAGACATCTACCTGAGAATTGAGAACGGGAATTGTGCCTATTTAAATGAGCTAGATGTATTGGTTCACAATGTTCTGATAGACTTTGTGCTGTTCTAATTTAGAAGATAAACTTCTTGGTTCAGGAGCTAATCTTCTAAAACTGATAGCATCAGAGTCTGTATTTATCAGACAAACCTGTTATGAAAGTGAATATGTATGATATTTTTTTGTGTGTGGGAAAAATTTGTATTCAGAATTAGCCAGCTGGACTCAGTTTGGATGATCCCAATTTTGTTGGCAACATCCAAAGCATCATAGTCAGGAGCAAGTCGAACATAGGCCTTCTTCTCTCCATCAGGCCTAATCAAAGTGTTGACCTTAGCCACATCAGTGTCATAGAGATTCTTTACAGCTTGTTTAATTTGGTGCTTGTTGGCCTTGACATCCAGAATGAACACAAGTGTGTTGTTATCTTCTATCTTCTTCATGGCTGACTTAGTGGTCAGGGGAAATTGGATGATGGCATGGTGGTCAAGCTTGTTTCTACTGGGGGCGCTCCTCCGGGGGTATTTGGGCTGCCTTCGGTGTCTCAGCATCTTAGGCCGCCGGAAGGTGAGTGATGTGTGGATATTCTTTTTTTTTTTTCTGTCTGTGGATGCCCTTCAGGACTGCCTTCTTGACCTTTAACGCCTTTGCTTTGGCTTCAGTTTTGGGAGGGTCAGGGGCTTCCTTCTTCGCTTTCGGTGCCACCTTCGTAGAAAGGCTATGTATGATATTTTAAACTTTGGCAATGATAGATGCACAGTTACAGAATACTAACTCAACTCATTTCCATCAGGTCTAAACAGACTGATAGCGGACTCTCTTGGATTTGCAAGGCTGTAAATCCCACATGAGACTTCTCATCTTTCACCCTGACACACTGATGTGTCCTAACAGCTAGGGAGTTGTTGTCATGCTAAGCTCTTATAGACTGTGTGCATCCTTCTCCCGCAGAGTAGCTGGCAGATTCTCCCTCTATGCCTTTAGGGATTCCAGTGTAACTTCTTACCAAATCGAGGAAAGGATTTGCTGAATATATCACTAAAGCACCACTTATTTAAGGAAGAGCCCTGGGCTTAGTCCTTAGAGAGTTTTACTGCTAACCCAGAGGAGTTATTTCTCTGGATGTCTGGTCCACCAGTGACACTGAGGAAGAAATGTGGCCAGTCGCCTCTTTTGTGATTTACAGCCTTGGCAAACTCCCCTGGAGGGTCAGCTATGAGTTAGTTCTGACCTGATACCACCGAGAGAGACAGAGCGGTGGTATGACCCATTAGGTGTTGTACTGCTAAGCGAAAGTCTGCACCTGTTGGCTGGTTGGAATCTGCTTGTCATTCTTCGGAGGAAGATGAGTGGTCCCTCCTATTAAGATTGGCAATCTCAAAAACCTAATGGAGTGTCACTAGGAGTTGTAATAGAACTCCATGGCAATGAAAATTGAGGTCCTGTAATGTGTAGATTATTTGTACTAATCAACAATTTTTTTAAGGAGACCAAGGACTCTTCAACAAAATTACTCCATCATTCTACTTCTGTTGCTCTCGTTTAAGTTTTGACATTATTACTTTGAGCTCAGAATATTGCCTTGCCTTAATAAATATTCTCCCCTCTATGCCCCATGCTCATTCACCCAGTCAACAAATATTTACTTAGTGATTTGTATATGCCAAGCAGTCGATAGGCAGACCCAGCCCTCACATACCTTAGATACTCTCCTGATCATACACATCCACTTTGCAAAATCACATATAATAATGGCTTCTCTTTCCAGTCTTTTCATGTGCTCATTGACTTAATATACCTAACTACTTCAGTCAAAGCAGAATATACTCTTATCAAGATGTCAGTTTTAAGTGTAATTCCTTGGTGTACAGAACTATAAAAAACATCATCCTTGAAGTAGACATAGTGCTAATCTCATGGGGCCCAACTGACATTTAATAGATTTGTGAGTACTTGTCATAAATCTCTTTAGAAAAAAATCACTCAGAGTAATTTAAAAACAAAACGTTTAGACCTTCATACTAGAAATGTCTGCATTTGAAGGCTAAAGTTTGGAGATGCATGATCATGCTAAAGACAGAGAAGACATTTTCCAAAATGGGATACCTATTTATACCGTATGCAGAAAGCAGCTGTGGTGGCACAGAGAGTTATATGTTGGGCTGCAAACCAAAAGTTCCTCAGAGTCAACTCTCTGTTATGGACTCAGCTTTGACCCTCAGAGACCCTCCTTTGGATTTTCTTCGCCGTAATTCTTAATGAGAGAAGACTATTTATTTCTCTCCCTTGAAGCTCCTAGTGTATTAGAATAATCAGACATGTGTAGCCTTTTAGTTCAAAGCAAAACATCTTATGGACCATACTACCCAATGGTAGGTGCTTCAGAAGCTTCATGGAGAAAGGTTAAGTAATCTGTTTCTATTTACAGCATCAGAGACTAAATCAATGGAGGGTCACTATGAATCAGAATTGACTCTACAGCTGTAGGTTTGGTTTTAGCCATGTGTTCAGAACTGTGCTTCTGAAAAGATCCAGGTAGTCTGAACTACCTGTATTAGCTGATCCTGTTCCATCATGAGGTGCTGAGATTAGACTGTACAGAAATGTGACCCCAACTCTTGCTTTAAGGACAGGCTCCTGTCTGCCAAATGAATTCCAAATTTACAATCAGGATCAAAGTTAGGCCATATTAGCTGCTCTGTATTTTTAACCTTTGTATTAAATTACCATCAAGCAACACTAATTAAGATAAGAAATGGAGCTACTTATTTGTTTCATATGCATCTTCAGCGTTCTGAATTATACATTAAAATAATCTGTGACATCTGTGTATGCTTTTCACAGAAGAAAGAAAGTACACATGCCTCAGGGTGCATCTGCCTAAGAAACAGATGAAAAAATGCTTTCTATCATTCCTATTAAAATACAGAGACAGGATAATTTTTAAAGCTACAGATATAAGGTAAAGCTTATATTACATAAATGAATCAATAAAAAGTATAACAAAGGCCACAATATTTTATATTAATCAGGAAAATCTGAGTTTCCTGAGTCTTTAAGAAAGAGAAAATCCCATTTGACAAAATCTTTAACTGTTTGTTTGTTTGATTTTGTTTCTAGGTTCCAGATTCAGGGAGCCACAGCAGATCCGAGCCATTACAAAAGTTTAGGAGATAGTTTTCGAGTGATTTTGCGGACAGAAGGGTATGTATGCTTCTTTATACATAGACAGTTTGTTGGTCTATGGGTGTATGCCTGGGCATGGATAAAATACTCTTAAAGTGATGAAAATGTGGTATTTTTTTAAGGTACAGTTAGCTATATTTTCTCAAAAAGGTTTTCTATGTAACATTTTTCTCATTTTGAATAATCTATTTCTCCAGTCTTATTAGTTAAGAAAACATTTTAAAGGGTGTCTTCCTGCTTCCTTGTGTTTTGTCTGGTAATAGCATCAAAAATTTAATATGAATACAATGAAAATTATTTTCAAAGGGCTTTAATAATTTTCATGACTAGAAGTCAACTTCTATCTATTACATGAAGGCTTTGTAAATTTTAAATGGAGCTATCTAAATGTAACAGTTCTTTATTTTTATTCTTTAGCACAAAGACCAAATGTTTTCCTAGTTTATGCTATGGTTTATGCATATGAGACCAGAACAGATCTGTGTCAAATATTGATGTGTCAAATTTATCATCTTAATTATTTATTAGATGTTCAGATGGACTATTTGGGTTATACGAACGAAAAATATCTTTGATATTTATATTCAGTTAGACTCTATCCAGAATAATTTTCCAGAAAGGGTATTATTAGATTTGCTTTTGAAAATATTTCTTATTAATGGATTTGTTTAACTATACGAAGTAATAATAGTAATTATAAAAGCAAGTATATACTTCTCCTCTATTATATACTAGAAATTTTCATTACAACTCTGTGAGGTAGACTCTAATGCGAGTCATTCCAATTGGGCAGAAAAGAAAGTAAGACTCGGTAGTTTTCCCAATTTCACATACCTGCTACCTTGGACTCATGTCAAGCTGTTTGACCCAAAGCTCTTGCTCTTAACAGCTGTAGTTCACTACTTCTCCTGGCAGATAACAGTGTGAATATTATACTTCCGATAATTTATTTAATTAACACATAACATGGATAGCTTTCAGTGTCATTATGTCACTTAACAGTGGCGGACTATTTATCTATATACTGTAACTTATTAAATACATTTTTTCCAGTAGACCATTAGATTGTTTCCAGACTTTCACCATTATATGTGACAGTGCAATAAATACTCTAACTTTGTCTTTGCAAATTTGTGTATGTCTGTATAAGGGACTGATTGGATCAAATTATAAGCATGTTTTAGACCATAAATATTGCCAGACTACCTTCCGCAAAGTACTTACAACTTTATACACATAATATTTAAGATTTTGCATTTCTCCATAGTCTCTCTCAAGCACTTTATTAATCATTATTTGATACATCTGTTACCCATGTGCATCTTCTTTGATTGTCATTGGGATTGAGAATATTTTTGTACCATTAGCTGCTATTTCTTATACAAATTGCCTGTTTGTAGCCTTTGCACAATTCTGTTAAGTTAGATTTGTAGACGCTCAGTGTATATTATATATATATATATATATATATATATATATATATATATATATATAAATCATTTAACAAAAGGAGCCCGAGTGGCAATGATTAAGCTCAGCTGCCAACCTAAAGCTGAACAATTCCCACTACCTCCTCCTTGGGAAAAAGGACATGGCAATCTCCTTCCATAACAATTACAGTCTAGAAAACTCTGTGAGGCAGTTTCAGTCTGTGCTATAAGGTCCCTGACACACTTTGGACATGTTGCAAAGAGGGACCAGTCTTTGGAGAGGGACACCATGCTTGGAAGGGTGGAGGGACAGCACAAGAGAGGAATGCACTGGGTGAGATGGATTGACTCAATGACTGGGGTGATAGGAGTAGGTGTACCAGACACAGTAAGGTTGGCTCAGGATAGAGCACGGTTCAGAGCTGTTGTTCATAGCGACTCGACGTCACATAACAACATAAGGTCCCTATAAGTCAAAAATAACTTGATAAAATAAAAAAATAAATCCTTTGACTTGTTGTAGATTGCAAATGTTTCTCCCAGTTTTCATTTGTCCTACAACTATGTCTTTCACAAGTTTATAATTTTTTTAAGTTAATTTTAAGGAATGTTTACAGAGATTTTGGATTTCCATACATTCATTTTGTGCGTTTTTTTTCTCCCTGCAGACCTCTCCTCCCAGTTCGCTCTTCCCTTTGACAAGTAAAAGAAAAATTATTTCATTGGTATAGAATCCCCCCACCCTGACCCCAAGTACACTCCACTAGGCAACATTCATTCTGGACTCTTGTCATAACCATAATGCCCAATCATATATTGCTTTCAAACAGTTCTCTCCCTCATCTGTTTCTATGCAGTACACATAATTTATCAATTTTTTCTCAGTCTCACTCCAACTCTGATGTCAGTCCCATTCTACAATAGTGACACCATGCAGAACCTGTCCTTTTGTGACTGAGATATTTCACTCAGCATAATGTCCTCCAAGGTCACCCATTTTGAATAATATTGCATGAGTTCCTTGTTTTTCTTTGCAGTGTCACAGTTTATAATTTTTTTTCCTTTTTTTTACTGGGAAAAACATATTGGGGGTATAATGAAGTGAGGGTTGGGGGCAGAAAGGTGAGGATGGGCCAGGATGCAGTTGTAGAGCTACACAGTTTGGTCGGTGGGGGGAACAGGTGAAGGAAATGATGAGGGTCGAGAGGGGACCAGATACTACAGAGGAATGACAAGCATTTTCCAATGGGAATTAAACCAACTGTCTTATTGATTTAGGAATTGGATGCTGACTCTCTGGCTTCTTCATGCTGAACAGGGGCGTAGATATAAAGGGGGGAAGGGAGGACGCTTTATCACCTTACTGGTGGTCTTGGGTTAAAGCTGCTTGCCTTCTT